TAACAATTGTTAAACTGATCATTTTAATTCTGATCAAAATCTTCCATTTGCTGGCATACAAGCTTGCTCCCTGAGTTTCACATAAAAAGTCCTCTGAAAGGACATGTGGTAATTGTTTAGCAAAATTTGAGTTAATATGTTCTTGGAAACTCAAAATCTTTTTTTGGCTAGAGATGTATGAAATGTATGCCAGGATATATGATAAAACAATATCAATATTTTTATCAAAACCCATTCATAAAGTTAAAAGTCAACTGAAAGAACTCATGAAGATCTGGAGGTGTTTTAGGTCTCACTTTGTGAGTTTGCTTGAAAGCTTCCAAAGTATACCTGGTAATTAACACCAGAATATTCGCCGGAGCTCTAGCGGGTGCTAGGTCTCATTGAAAGTACTGATTAAGGAGCCCTTGTTGGTATGCCTGCATGAAAGCTTTCAAAATATATTTTTTTCTTCATTCAATACCTTTTCACCCACTCAAAGAGTGGAGATGGCAAAATATCTTTGGTTAGGCTGTGGAGGAGACTAAAGCAGCACCAAAGCAGTTTAAATTTGCCAACAATTACTCAGACATCAATGGCAATAGACCATAAAATTTATGTGTCTGAGTTTATTTCAGATAAATTGGAAGGTTTTTTGCTATCTATTGAATGCGATTTTCATTGGAATCTTTTGAAAGTAAATTTTCTTTTTCTTTTACAAAAGTGCAAACATCAGTTACTTAGTGGTCCACTTCAATGCACCCTAGTAAACCCAACACAATTGTAATAAATCTCTTTTTTCATGCACACTCTGTTTCATCTGTGCTATAGAACAATTGGTTCATGCTCTACACATATATCAAGATATGGATGTAATTGGGAAGTTTGGAGAGCACTCTGAAGGTTAGAGATGCTCTTAAGTTTGCCTCAAGCAACTCTTATGCTTCTCTCCTGTTCTCCAAACTTTCAGTTTGCATCCATATCTTGATAAATCTTCACTAAGCATAAACCGATTGTTAAATCAGCAGAGTCCACACTACCTACATACAACTATCTGCTATGAAATGGATACATCTATTGACATTCTCTTTCACTAGATTCACCCCAGCTTGTAGGCTGTCTACAATGGATAGTATACCGCAGATACAGCATACAGCTATCTACGCTTTCTACAACAGATGCAGCTATTTAGCTGCATACGAGTGCAGAGCTCTCAGGAAAATATTTAAATTTCCCGCGTTCGGGTACTAAAACAATTTAAAGTGAATTAAACAGTTCCTTACCACGCATAAAAATAAATTGAACAGGAGAAACGTCTTAAGAATTAAAATGAAATAGAAAACACCGTGCAAAGCAGAACAGCCTCAAGAAATACCTTGATGCCTGGACGACTTTCAGATGTTTCTATGTCCGCCAGCGGTGAGTGCGTGAACATAAACATTCGCCGTTTTTGTGTTCTTAAACCTCTGTAACCATTCCCATGATATTAAGCGGAAGGAGCCATATATTGATAAAGGTGATTTAATAGCCAAGTGATGCAGAAGGGGCATTTTGTCACGAATTTTCATGCCAAAGAAAGGTGTTCCTTCCTGCAGCCATACTTTGCATGCGCGACGTGGTCACGATGGTGACTTGAACCCAGTCTTCTCTCTATTCCCTTTAAGAACCAAACAACCTGGGTGAGGGAGGGTGAGGATACAATACTTGAGTAAGTAATAACATGGCTCCTGACCGAGAGATTATGAAAAATCTCTTGCTCCTGACTACGAGAAGTACCTACGTTTTGGCGAAGTCCGTTGCGGGACTGGAAAAAGAAAACAATGCCAAAAAAAAATGTTAGCGCGGACTGAGTTGTTTCCCCTTCGATTTTCCACGCGTTCTATGGGAAAGAGCGAGATCAGATCCCGCGGGAGCCTAGGCTGACCCCAAATTCCGCGGTCAGTTTGTCTTCTCTAAGAGACATAATTAAGCTGAATGGTCTGAAACTGAGATATATTTTGTCTGATTTGGCATTAAAGCGGTATTGGATTTAAAAACAAAGGTACCAAGATTTCTAAAAAAATCCCATAGTAAAAAGTTAAAAGTTTCGTTGAGAAATATTAACGGCAGCAGACCAGAAA